AACAACACAGCTCATTGTCTCTCCAGACACGACACATTCAACCCACATTTGCTCCTCAGGCTAAATGCCCTGCCTGAAATTATACACCCCCTGTAGATGTGAGTAAATACACAACTGATGTGAGCTCACACCATCGGGGCTGCCGGGGAAAGAAAAGACAATAAAAGCATTTGAGAGAAAGCTCCTTCCTGCATACTTCACATCAACACACTGCGCTACCGTTCGTCACCGATCCAGTTCCACGCACTCGGTGACACAGCCAGCTCCTAGTGGGTGGTTGTGAAATAATCAGGGCTCGAGGGTGCCATGGGGAGGACCCGTGCCATATCCCTGACACAGCACTTGTGAGGAGAGAGGAGATGCTCTGGAATTTTGTAAACAGGTTCCCACTCACACTGCTCATGCCCGGGGCCCCTGTGGGGATGAACACGGCCCACCAGGTCACTGCCCCCAGACGCAGGGCTGCTGGGCCTCCCAGCAGAGTCCTGCTCGACTGCAACAGCGGAGAGCTGTCTGCCCCGACACCAACCCACGCGCAGTGTGTTTCTTCAGTAAACAATGAGGATACCAGGGGGGACTGCTGACTCTGCTTTCAGGCATCGAGGAATGTGCCAGGTGGACCATTTTAGAGCACAGGAACGTCGGAACAGTTCCAAGGAAGTGGAAGCCATTCAGCCCTTTCAGCTAGTTTGACGGTAGCATTTTGATTGGAGCATCAGATTCCTGTTGTTCATTCAAGCCTACCAGGAAATCCATATCAAAAAGATAACGGTGGAGATTGTTCCAGACCCCCACAACTCTTTGCGTAAAGAGGTGGGGAAACTTGGTCTTAAATGCACCTCCTCTTCATTTCCACTTAGACCCCCTGCCACCACCAGCTGTCTGCAATACCATAGGCAAGCTGACACAGGTCGCTGGTTTATGTGTATGTATATTAGGTGCATTAGCAACCCTGATAGCTGAAGGCTGCGATGTGGGAATCATGGCGTCTCTCTCCACTTTTTAGAGAAACATACACCTTTATTTGAGCATTAAAGGCATCTGATTTACATGTTACATAAAGTCGGTGTATGACTTAAAATTTTTGCTGACGGAGCATGACATGTCAGAGGAGCAAGGGCGTTGCCCCTTCACAACCCCGAATTAGTCACTACTTTTCATTGTCCCAGATGAAAACATTTTAATTTGACGGCAGGTTACGGACACAACACAACACAACACAACGCGCTGCATTAAAATAAATTCACAAGTAAGAGAAAGAGGGAAAGATGAGAAAAAGAATGAGATTAAAAACAAAAAATAAAGTAAAATATGCCATCGATTGTTTGAATGAAGCAGGTTAATAGCTCTGGGAATAAAAGATAACTGAGTTGCCTTGCACTCGAATCTGTTTAGTCTAAATCGACGCCCAGATAGAAGGCGCTCATATTCCCTGTGCGAACGGAGGTCATGATTATAGCGGCCCTTCCGCGCCTCTCTTGTTCCCCGACTGCGCGCTTTCGTCTCCAGCACGGCTGCTACCTCTCGTCCGTGCCCTGCTGGAACAAAGAGCGATGCCTATTGAAACGTTGCTTTACTTTCAATGCGACATCTTCACGCCTATTCTCTCTGCTGCTTTTGCGGCGGTTTTTCGTCCTTGCCAAAGTTTCGATCGCCTACCAGTCTGATTCCCCGAGGGCCATAATTTTTATTAAATGTATGAAAATTTACAAATACAAATACAACCAGAGGATCAACGAGTCTGTTCTTAGATTTGTGCCGTGAGAGCGAACGCGTTTGTGCGTGCCCGGCCTGTGTACCGGATGCTGGATTTTGCTGGGCGCTGTTCATTCATAACTGACTTGTCGTTACGACGTGTTTGGACATCCATTAACGTGTCTCTGTGTGCTCATACAACATATTCTAAAAGAAATGCGCTCTAATGTCTGGAGTCTTTGTTTTCCCCCTGAGCACCCATTTCTTAAAAGGCAGTTAGGGTATCACTGCTCAGTCTCATTAGGGTATCACTGCTCAGTCTCAAAACATTTAGCAAAGTGCCTAAGGCTGTGCTCAGCACCTGCTGCTCCATGTGTAAGACTGTCCATCCAACTATTTTCTAACCCCCTTATCCAATACCGGATCACAGTTGGGGGCGGCTGGAGCTTACCCCTGGTCAAGGCAGGATACACCAGTCCATCCCAGTAAACCACACACTCACTCACACCAGGGCCAGTTTTCACAGAAGCCAGTTAACCTACCTGTATGTCATTGGGCTGTGGGAGACAACCAGAGCCCCCAGATGCAAACCCACATGAGCACAGGGAAAACACATACAGCCTGAATGGCTTTTCTGAGCCTTCTGCCTCTAGAGCTCCCTGCCTGTCAGGTTTCTCTGAAGCTTTTCATTCGTACATGTGCTGTATTCCCTGACTGGCTACAGCTGTTATGATGATATTGATGATTATTATTTAACTTGGATACATGCCACAATGTTGTTGTTTTTTTGTGTCCTTGATTCATGTGCAGCCTTTAGTGAATTAATTTGCCCGGTGTGGACAGTGCAGAATCTGAAATTTACGGTCGTGCTGCATGCTTTACAGCTGCAAATCTCACTTCATGCAGCTGCTTTCTGACTAGGATGTGACCTGGGAGTCCTTTGGCAGATATATATAAAAAGCTTAATGTCTAAAGAATGCAAAGACCTCAGCTTTACTGCGGAAGTTATTTTCATTGGATGTTTTTCTAGATTTGTCTCCAACATCAATCATTTGCATATAGCACTTGTGCATATGACAAATGAACTGAGAAGCTAATGTCAGAGGTGGAAATGGTGAGCCAAGTGCTTCACAGTGTTTGGGCTTTCTTATGTTCATATACTGGCACACTGCGTGTGTGTATTTATCGCATACATGGAATATAAATCACCACCCCCCTCCCTCAGTGTAAGCAAGTCCTGATTCCAGGGCTGGAACCTGCCAGGCGACTCCACATTCTTTCTCAGTGAGGCTTGAGAGCATTTTTCTAGCAGGAATTTCTCACGTTTTTTCTCTTTTACAAGGTCCACAAGTTGTCAGAATCCAGTGCCCCTGCAGTGACAATCCCAGCGTCAACCCCACAGTACATCCTGCGGTGCAGACACGAGACACTGTTTACACCAAGGGTGGTGGGAGTATTGAACAAGCCCCCTCAAAATGCCGATACTCTGAATTTTCTCCAAAAAAAATGGCTGGTTGAAATCCTATCATCAGTTCCTACCGACTACAAAAAGAAAGGCATAGCTAGGGCAAACAGTCTCCTTCCCTTTGTAACCTTGCTTATATTCTCATGGTCCATCTCAGGAGAATTCTACAGCATCCAGGTTTCAAGGGGGTTACATTTCCACACCTACACCCCCTCATTCTGCCCCTGAGCAGCAGCCGAGCTCCTCCTGCATGACGTTATGGTGTCCAGTCTGGACACACGGGCTGGACGGTACCAAAATACGATGCTTGTGTCTGGTCAGAGGGGCTCAAGCACGAGGAGCTGCCGTGTGAGACCTCAGTGTCCACTTGCTTCGTCATGTGTGGCGTCAGGTTTCAGCTCACTGAACTGACCACAACCCGGTGACACAGACTCACACCAGTGTCCTCATCAGGATTACACAGTCATCAGTCTCTTAGTAAGTGCTCTCTAATAATGCCTGGTGTCATCGCATCCCTTTCACGTAAATCAGGGAGGGGTTAATCAGTCTGAATGTAGGGTAAAACCTGCATTCAAAACATAGAAAGGGCTCACAGGAAGCACACAGGGAGCAGAGATCTAGTACAATGTTTACATGGGCATCCTCACAACATGCACAGGCACAGAAACACACATTGTGCTGACCGCCCTGTTTCCCAGGCCCTCTTCTGCCTCGCAGCGATCCCTTCTCTGTTTCCCTGATGCTGGGGTTTCCCTTTTGATGTTCCAGTTCCTTCCCTTATAATTGCACATTATAGAAACTAAAGACCCACAGCAAAATTATGCAAAAACCCAATCAGAGTGAAACTGTTCATGCCAGTAACAAGGGTTAAACCACAGAAACAGAAGCTCTTGCATGAAGACTCAGGGTGGGGTTTCTTCATACTGGCGGAGTTTCGGTCCCAGGCTGATGACACCCTAGGAAGGCAGAAACCTGATGACTGCCCGGTATTAAGTTCCGATCAGTCCCCTGCGTCACAGGGAACCCAACCCCCCCAGCCTCTCTCACCTTTCAGAGGTCAGCACCTTGTCGACGGGACTGTTTCTTTAGCTGTTCCGCCTGGGAAACGCATCTGCAGCAAAGCCCCGCCTCCGTAGCACGCGTCCGCGTCTCAACATGAACGACTCGCTGGCTGGCCTGCTCGCATTGCCCACCCGCTGCTTCAGCAGAACTCCCCACGCTTCCTCGCAGTGGGGGGCGATTTTAGGTGATCGATACAGCAAAAGAAGAACACGTCAGGGAACCGCTGCGTCAAAAAAAAAAACTTTGTTTCTTTTTGTGTGCGGACATCACAGCTTCGTCTTTCTCCCCTGTGTCGCTGTGTCACAGCCCTGTTTCTGTAGGAGACCGAGATTTCAGGAAAGTCTGCGCTTTCTTCGAATCACACTCCCCTGTGTAACAGCAGATTGTACAGCTTTGATGGTAGGCAGGATAAGGATAAGGTAAAAATGAATGTATTTAGTCTGGGGGGGTTCTAATGTTCCCAGAACATTAGCAGTCACATTACGCTACAGAGTAATGTATTGGCTCTGCAACTCCAAAACACCTCTGGAAAGTTACAAAGGAGGAAAGGACAGCGCAGGTGTGTTTACAGTCTTTCTGTTCGGAGAATCGGAAAGAAATGGCACACTGGCATCAGAAGGTGCCAAGAGTCATTAATCCCAATATGAGCAATACTGAGCCACCTCATTTCTCCTGAGCACATTGCAAACCAGTGCTGACAGTGCATTCAGCAAAGACCTGGCAGAAAAGACATACTGCATTTCACATTTTCATTTTTACACTGAGGGAAGGCCTTTCAGAGGCGGCCCATTTCTTAATTAAAATCCATTGCAGGATAAGTGGCAGGCCTTCCTAAAACCCCCATCCCTCTCCTCAGATGAGCCAACAGCAGCATTTTCATCAAGGCGCGGTGTGACTCTGTAGGCGTTGCAGCAGAGGAAGCTTTTAGAAAGTGTGTCAGGACAGGCGACAAAGCGCCTGTTCGATCTAATCAAGAGCGCGCGCCGTGACAAATCTATACGAGGGCACTGGGACTGCTGCTCGGGCTGTAAACATTGTAAGGCCTCCTGACACTGCCGGCTTCATGGGACACATCTCACAGGGTTCTCCTCTCCCCGTCTGGACACAGCCTGTGAAAACTCAGCGCTGCTCGGCCTCGGAAACGTGCCACTTCCACAGGTAAACAAGGCGAAGACCCCCAGCTCTCTCACGGCTCCAAAGCTAAGACGAGAGCAGGTGAGCTAAAAGACGGGCCGCATTCTGAGAGAGCTGCTTGAATCTAACTGTGGCTTAATGAACTTTGGCCTCACAATGCAGAGTCAAACAATACCCTTACAATCTCGGATCCCATCAAACCAACCCTTCTGCTGCTATGGCGTCCTGATCTTACTGATCTTCCTGATCTCAGTCTTGGGTATAAGTGCCCATGGCTTCTCAGGTCTTACTGCAATCACACCACCCGCTGCTCCTTCCTGTCCTCGCTTGTTTGCTGTTCTCAGCACATGACCTTGAGCCTCAGATAAGGCAGGAATGCCAGCCGGAGTGCAGCCCAGCAGACACAGCTCTGTGGGGGGTCCCACATGGCACAGCCCAGAGCCCAGGGCCCAGGGCGAAGGGCCTCAGGAGCTCACCGAGACTAACCCTGCTACCTGCAGCAGCACCACCACAGGAAGGAAGGAGATCCGAAATGAATCAATATTGGAGCAACCCACCCCACACTTCACTAGTAGAGCCTATCTCTGATCAAAGGTTAGAAATATTAAAGTAAGGTCACAAAATAATTGCTGCGATTCCAAGCCCCGGAGCAAAACACATGAAGAAAGCATTCTGAATTCCTGCAAAATCTTGGGGGGCAAAATCCCTGAAATATCCTGTGGGAAACCCTTGTTACAGAGTTCCACAGATTCTTCCCTGTGATCGTTCTAAAGGATATTTAGAGCACAGGCAGCTGAACAAATGGATCTAACTGGAAAGTTAATGGCTTGGTCTAAAATCACAGCTGCAAAGCAATATAGTGGCTGTGGAGAGTATGCAGAGTTTGTTTTCATTTTTCTTACATTTATATTTGGTATTTACTGTGTTATAGCTTGTGGCGGGTATCATGATTGCCTATAACCCTCCGCCTTTTACCCCTATCGATACCTGTGCTTTAGTAGACAGTGCTGTGATTTCACCCTGGTAAAGCATGGTAAACTGATACAAGGGGCGTAATTCCCTGCTGTAAGCCCTGAGGGGTGGAGACACTCCACAGCGGACAGCGAGGAATGGTTGGGGGGGTACCAAATGGGGGATTAAGTCTCAAAAGAAGAGAAGTGTTTCTCTCCGTAGGAACAGCAGTGAGTGTCTTTGGATCAGATTGTGTTTTACTTTAATAACAATGGTCTCTATGCGTCTTTAGGAGCCCTCCCCTTTCCTGCAGCTGTACGCTCATCCTCCTTAACTGTGCTGGAGAACAGTGTGTGTGTCGCAGTCAGCTGCAGGTTCAGGGAGTACATGTACTGCAGGGACTATCCACAGGATAGTGTTCAATTCCAGGTGACTGCACGCTCCCCGCTAAAACACGAGAGCTAGAAAGCTTGATTGTTTCAGCTGTACTACTGTAATTCTCCGTGGGTACTGTCGTTTGAAGACGTTTACTGTGGTTAGTTCTGAGCACAGCGCCACGTTACAGGCCTGGGATTTAAAGAGGTCAGAGGTCAGCAGGTGTCAGTGAACCAACTAGGAGAGGTTTGGTTTTATTCAGAAACGTCTACCTCCAGGCTATATTTCTAAATCTTTTGATGAAGCAAAAATAAAGTTAAGACATCTTGCATGGCTTTTCATTATGGAACATTAAGAGTTCCCATCAGACAATTAATTTCATCATGTTCCATTAAAAGTTTATTTTTCCTTTTTCAAAGGAAGCAAGAGTAGGAGGGGTCCTTCCTGGATTTGGCCTTTTCAGACAAGCGGGTATGTTTCTTACCTTAATGTCTGAACCCCAGAGCTGGTCTTAATCAGCTGACAATTGCTGAAGCTTTTTCAGTTGAATAAGGATAGCATTTTAGGACAGGACAGGAGCACCCTTGTCTGGTGCACACTCTTGCAGTAACAGTGCAAGCATGCCTGGCACCTTTGAAGCAGAAGAGAGCAGAGCAATCAATACAGGGATGAGAGCCAGAACGCAAGGTTGCAATAAATGCAGTGCAAGTTTAGATCATTAGTGAAAGCTACTGGGAGTCATGCCATGATGCACTAAACTGAGCCACATACAGAACCGTTTTGTCATGCCGTGACAGGGCAGCAGAAAGAGAAATGGTGGAATAACAGGCAGAAACAGCAGCTGGCAGAGAGCTCCAGAGTAAGTGCACAATATAGAGGTGAAACTATTCCCAGAATACGATTCCCTTGGGCATAGGAGCTAGCAGTAGTGCACAATCACAGAATCTAATTCCAGGACTAGAACAGAGGGGGTCAGCAAGTCAGTTTAAACCTCAGCAGGCGAGGAAAATAAACGGGAGACAAAAACTGACAGGTAGCCTATGCAGTTAAGCCAGGAATGGAGTGATGCGGTTGTACCTCTTGGCGTCTGGTAAAATCTCTGCTTCCTTATTTTGCACAAAATAAACCCTCTTGACGAACTGATTGCTCACCAATTCATGAGGTTGTTCGTTTGCCTTGAAGACACTTGGGGTACTCTGCTGCCCATGAGTGAAAATTATTCTGGATTGGTTCAGATCTACTGTATCTCCTCAACTGAAAATGAAGTCATTCACTGTAGTGCTGCTGTCAAGCGGTTACCATGGAAATGGGGAAAACAAACACAGAGTGCTTTGGCAGCTCCTGAACACAGGCTGAGGACGTTCGGTATAAAAGAACTCTCTTCAATAAACACTAATAACATCCAGGGATTTTTTCATATCACTGTGAAATTTAATATTACACCTGATACCATAATATTATCATCAATACTTCACATTCAACAATTAATATACTAATTCACACCACACTTATGAATTTCTTCAGTATATGTGAACGATATTGGTATATGAAGTATTATTAGGTAGTAATGCAAAACACAACAGAATGCTATTATTAGGAGTTTTAAACTTTATAAACGTATTAATATATTAATAATATTAATAATTAATATTAATAATATTAATTACGTTTATTAACTTATTGATTAACTTATAAATTAGGGGTCTAAAACTTTATAAACGATGGCTGCTCAGCAATAACCATGTAATGGTCATGTATTTTTTTTTAGGGTTAATTTAAATTCCACACATTTGTCTGAACGAAATGGAATTCCGGTAAGAGTATAACAGATTTCACTGCCGATTAAAAAGAAGACAAGACTAAAATTCTACATACATTCACTGTACCCTTTAGTTATTACCTTCTTAATTATAAAACATATGCAGCTTTCAGTACATAAATATTATGAAAGTAACCTGACTGTTCAATGAATTAAAATGTGTCTTTCTCATTAGTGCCTGTCTCTTGAAGATAAAAGCTGAGGCTGGGCTTTTATTACACCAATGAAAATCATCTGAAATCACTTGGGCATATCTAATGATAATCCTTATTACAAGTGATTACAGCCCAGTTCACAAGGTGAACATTATGGAAACATTACAGGCTTTCTGCCTGTGCACAAAAGACTCAGACTCAGAGCTCAGGGCAAACTCTCGAGATAACTGTCATCTCAGAGTCTTCCACAACTACATGCTCAGAGCCACACAAATGCTAGAGTCTGCTGTAGTCACCATTGTCTCTGTCATCAAACCTCATGCAAGCATATCAGACAGAAAAATAAGTTCAGACAAATAGAAGCTGTGTAATAGCCTAATCTGGAGTGTGGAGTAGTATGACGTGGTTGGGCTGCTTCTTGAAGCTAAAGAGCAGTAAGAGCCCTGAGGGGTGCAGGTTCGGTCCCACAGACCTGGCGGTGAAATAAATCGCCTCAACCAAGCTGCCATCCTTCAGGACTCTTGAACAGGATTCACTGCTCCCAGTCACTGAGTGTAAACAGGACCAGAATAAGCACCAATATGGACTGATGTCAATCTCCTGTTGCTCCTAAATCAACAGTAGTTGTGTTATAATCTCCTCCACAGGTGATTAATAGTCCACCTGGTGTGTTACTTACCTCCTGGAGGAACGCTGTCTCTTGCATCCATTTAGAATATTCTGTCATTGTTTTGTTACACCCACCCACAGCTGAGAGGGAATCCCCTCACACAGGGGGGAGTGTAGAAGTGGAGACAGACCCCGCCCCCAGCCCCGCCCACCTTCGAGCCACTCCTCCTTTAAAACACCACGGGAAGCCACAGGGGGTGCTGTGCTTTCCAAGAGCCAAGGGGAGTCCTGGGTAACTAATTCAACCCTGCCCTTCGTGACATGCGGCCAATAGTGTGCCACCTCTTGAGGAATCCTGGGCACCGTCAGCAGATGACATGACACAGGCTCGAACCCGCTCCGCATGGAGCATAGAGACATGCATCATTTCCAGCTGAGCCACTCTGTGGGCCCCTGAGCCTTCTTTCTTTAACTTCAGCAGACAACCTCCCTCACCCAAAAAAAAAAGTCAGGGGACTGGACCAGCTCAGATCAGCCCCCACACTCACGGCCATCAGTGTAAAACTACAGAGGGAAACCTGGCGAATCTCATTACAAAAGCATGGGACAGTTTGGGGGGCAAATCTCATAAGGACAGACTAAAAAACAGAGAATGCCAAGTTAGGGAAAGTTGATCATGCTGAACGTGCACTAGCAGAAACAACGATTACGCAAGTCAGCTGATAGCAGGGTTAAACAAGGGCTTGCAACACCTGAGCCCGGGTTACAGTACACCTGATTCAGGCAGAAACTCTTCAATTATATAAACAACTCTAGAGTTTCAACACAGCTGGGCTCTCATGGTCCCTGGAGCATCCCTCCAAGCAATGGGCACAGCAGACTTCACAGTACAGCATATTACGCAGGACAGGGTCTTTCATTTCTACCTCACTGACAGCAAGGTGCTGGAAGTAAGGGACCACATTGCAGGCTGTAACGTATCCCTATGAAACTCCTCAATTTAGAGTGGCTGTGTCTTGGTATGTCTCCTGACAGGGCACCAGTCCTGCGGTTCCTGTGCTGGGATGGGTTGGTGTTATAAAGGACAGTTTTGTTTTTTATCAGACAGGTTTTTTTTTCAATCATCCATAATGCTTTTAGACAATAGTGCTTTATTTTACTGTGATAAGAGCTCAACAAATGTGTCTAGGAGTCAGTATTGTAGCAAACCGGCAGATAGACTTGTTGCTTGACACTCACTGGCACACTGGTGTGGTTCTGTGGTTAAACACTAATCTAGAACAGAGGTCACCTCTGCTGACTAGGAATCTTCCAGGTCATACAGAGCTGAACACAGATGTGCATGATACTTCTTCTGCTCTGCTCTGGATCTAGAATCTAGTACTAAGTGTGGTTTGTTTTCCTGTTCTTCACTGAGTACCATGTACAAAGTGCCAAAGGTCCATGCTGGAAAATAACTCTGCGCCTCCAGTTTCAGTGGAAATGGCTCGGATTGAGCAATCAAGATTAAAAAAAGAAACAGGTTCACCGTGAGAACTCCTGGAAGGCATGACTTGACATCCTCTCTCTCTGGGTGATTCTACTGGTGAGCGACAAGTCAGACACAGGAGGATAAAGCTGTTTAAAAAGCTGTATTTTTTTCTCTCAAGACCCTGGAACGATACACTGTGCGTGAACACTGTACCTTTGTCCATGCCTGGGCCTGTCTGTGCTTGCTGCTCTGTCTTGCAGTGGCAGTGTCTGTGTGGACTAGAGAGAGTACGTGTGTTTCAGAGACGGTGCCGGTATACTGCATGCGTGGGCATGGGAAGACACCTGCAAATGTGCTGGTGGTTTAGCGAGGTGGGCCCTTGCTGTGTATTTATTGAGCGGCCGCTGTTCGGAGATGTTTGTCAGTGTGACGTACGCCTGCGGTCAGTGTTGTGCAGGAAGGGGGGGAAAAGCCTGCTCAGCCAGAGTAGACTCCACAGGCCCTGCCCTGTCCGCACTTCTCAATTCTCCTGGGCTGCATGCTTGGCCTTCCGCCCAGCGCCCTGCTCTGCTCTGTGCAGAAGAACAGAGGCCTTTGTGCCACAGTGCACGCGATTGTTAATCTTCCTGCCCGGCAGCACAGTGTGGCGATTCGGTAAGTACCGTATCGCCATCGCCCACTTCGCACCTCGGGCTCGGACCACTCCCGCTACAGGTCCGCTAGCAGGCTGGCATGAGCAGTGACAGCACACATGAGCCCTTCATCTGCTGGGTCTCAAGCATGAAGAGGGACCTCTGGCCTCATTTACCCAAGATAAAGGTTAGTATGAAATAAAAGTGAGGGATTTATCCCTTCTTGGGGAAAGGGGAATGCTGGCAAGTCCGGCCTCCCTAGAGCTCCCCATTAATCCGACGGCTGGTGCACTACTTCTTGCTCGTCTTTCTGATCGGCTGATGGCGCAGACTGGCTGCTGGGTGTCACCCGAGCGGGTGCTGCACCTCAGAAGTGGGTGTCGTGGGTCCCCTCCAGTGCGTGAAGGATAAAAGGATAAAAACGGAAATGCTGGACAGATGCCCCGAACTATTCTTGCTGTTATCTTGGCACGTTGTAGAGTTTTCAAAATATGTAGAATGTTTGGTTTCCCATATTTTGGAAAAAGACTAAAAGTGTTTACTCCCAAACCCAGGTGCATTAACATGGTTCAGAGGGAGAAGCTCTGATGAACACTGATGTACCCTGCAAACTCACTCCTATTGTAAACAGTGCACTATAAATATTAGTTTGTGTGTCTTGTGTGTGTTATTTTGTATAATAAATATTTGTCCATTAAGCTATTGCCACCACAAAATTGTTCACAGAAGATTTGAAAAGCTATACAGCCTCATTCAGTGTTCCCTTATTTTTTTATTTAACTGTTATAAATTACTTGTATAAGCCACTGTCAGAACAGACTGGAGTTATTGGTAAGCATTTACTGTTGTGTTTTATAGCCTCCCAGTAAAAAGAGGCTGTGGCAAGTTGTGACACAGCGATCAATAATCTCAAAAGCATTAATTCAGTGCTTTTTCATGACAAATAATGCTCCTCACAGCAATGCCCAGGCTGAACCTCCTAGCATGAAACTGAACAATACCAGTGTTAACATGCGTGGTGTATGACAAAGCAGCGTTGTATAGAAACAGTGCTACATCACTGCATCAATAAATAGTAATTGAAGGGTGAATTTCACTGTGCAACTGTGGGTGTGGATACGCAAGAAAACAAAGGCTGACGCACTGAGACTTACTCACAGCAATGGATTCTTTAAAGATCGGGCGGGTAACTGCATGCCAGCGTGGAAAATTCTAAGCAGTACTGTAATGTGGGTTAGCAGTTATGCAAATGTTTGCTTTCAATCACTCTACCATGAGATAAAAAACTCTAAAGCTGAAGCAGACCTAATTCCCGGCACTCCGCTATTGTGGAAGAGAGCTCCATGATCAAATATAGCAGGGGAATCTGTCTTGTGCTCCCAAAACACTGCTTTCTGCCTGCAACACTGAAGTTAATAACATCTTTGTCAAAAGTAGAAAGAGCTGTTTCACTCTCGGTATTCTCGCTAAAGAGTGAAAAAAGTGTTTATCCCTCTTCCTCCCTCTTTGCTGTTTTCTGGCTGC